AGAAGATACAAAGGAATGAAAAATAAATTCTTTTTTGTCCATCCAAAGGTATAAATCTTCTCTTCCTGGAAACTACAGTGCTTTTGAAAAGGTTGATCTCTTTTCATGCTCCAGCAGAAGTCAGGCATCATGTTAACATTCCATCTGCCTTTGTATGTTTTTTTTCTATTACCTTGAGATCCCGATGAAACCTCTCTCCCTTTTTATCACTATAATCACCAACATTATAATCCGTGACAGTAATATTCAATGCATGGACGAATAAATAGTATAAGATAGATTCTGTGGAGAAAAAGTATCTAGCACAACGCTGAACTCAACTTTCCTAATATCAGAAGTAGTAATTAACTCATTATAATCTTTCCACTTCATGCTTGTGGAAAACGTTAGCTCGAGAAAGTACAATGAGTCACTCTCCTGGAGGTTAGCATAAGCCATACGGATAGAAGATGAAAAATGATTCCCATAGACGATTAAAAGAGACTCAGTTCCTTTCGGAGGCATTATAATTAACACACCATTTCTTGTTATCCAGGAAAGCATATTCCCCATTTAATGATAAACTTGGACCAAATCTGTTAAAATCTAAGACAGTAAATATTAACATGCATGAAATATTTTATTAAAAATGATTTTAGTATTGTCATTTTATAAAAATCATCATCCTTTCTGGGTGTAGATGTATTATGTTATATTATGCAAAGTGTAAAATAATTTTTTTTATTTATAAATAAAAAATCCAAAAGATATAGGCGAAGGAAATATATACGAGGTTCAGATGAAAAGTTCATAGGCTGACCAAGATACTCTCCTGGAACGTGACCAAACGAAGTTGATTTTTCAACATATTCCCTTGCGGTCCACACACTTCTTCCATCGGTGTTGCAGTGCTTGAACCCTACTGGTGAAGAAGATTTCATCTTGTTGGTCAAAAATGTCCACAGACAAATGTTTTTCCATGTGGAAGAACAGATGATAGTCAGATAGGCCTAAATCAGGAGAATAAGGAGAGTGATCAACCAGTTCAAAGCCAGTCATGCACAGCAGCCAGCGAAACCAATGCCTTGTGTGCATTGTCCGGTTGAAAAATAAAACCTTTCGTCAGTTTTCCTGAGCGTTTGGTCTTGATAGCCTTTCGTAACTGCCTCAGCAAGATGGCATAGTACTTTCCATTGATGATGTGGCTCTTTAGAAGATATTCAATAAATAAAATGCCTTTTGCATCCCCCAAAAACCGAGGCCATCACCTTCCCTAAAGATGAAAAGATCTTCATCTTCTTTGGGTAAGGTGAGGAGGTGTGTTTCCACTGCATGTATTTTTTATGGCTCAAAGAGATGCAGCTATCATTTATCCTGAATTAAAAAAATATGATGGAAACCAGTTGGATCTCCTTGAAACAATGTCAGCCTTTCTCAGGATGTGATCAGGTTGGTGCATTTTTGGTCAGGTGTCAGGAGATGTTACCACCGAGTAGTAACCTTCGTCATTCCAAGTTCATTGTGCAGAATATTCTCAACTCGTTCACGGGATATGCCAATAGCATTGGCTATTTGATTTTTACTAAGAAACTTTCCCATATAACTGAATAAATTATTTATTTATTTCCATGATAATATGAGCTCTTTGACAATCTATGCATTTCGTCAGACTTTTATACTTTTCAGGTTTTATGGGTACGTATATTAGTTTTTATTGCTTCTCAGAGATCTTCTTTGCTTGAATATTGTTTTCCATTCTTCAAGATATGTCTTTTAATGATTGACCACATGTATATCGGAAAAAAGTGTCCCTCTATACGTGTGTGGATTGTGCATTTTAAATGTTTAACGTTAAAAGCGAAAATGAAATGCATTTTTATTTTGGGTAAATATCTGAAATGTTTGAGAGCAATTACATTAATTTTGGATCGTTTAAATTTCTGGTCAATAGTTAAACTTAAAGAATCTGAACGAACATTGTCTTCAGCTTTCCCAAGAAATTAAAATGCCTCTATCAGGAATCGCTATAAAGAAAACGCAATATAGACAAATTTTCCACAAAATATATGCGTTTTTTTACATACTTGTCATGGTGGTAGCAATCTTTAAAAAAGATAGTTAAAAGTAGATACCTCCATTAATTCGGTATACGTAAGGTTTACAATGAATTTTTATAAATGAAGCTTTAATGTTTAAATTGAAAGCTAAGGCATTTAAAATTTACTATTTCCAGTAAGCACACTTTGGTGTATTTCAAACAGGAATTATATTGATCAGTATCAAATTGATCAAAACGACAATTTTTGACACATTTGTAAACAAAACTTAATTCTTGGTTTTAAAAATCTTGCAAAAATAAAATATATATTTCTGAAACATTATTTAAGGAAAATTAGTGCATTTAAGTGCAAATTAATTTGATTTGGAATAAATATTACTTACTTATAGCATGAAATGTTGTATACAAACATTTCTTAACTACGGGGTTTTGTTTTTCTGATGTCTTAATCGACTTATTTACATTCAATTGACAGCTGAATGTGTTCATAGTTAAGTATGGTGTAGCAGACGATAAAGTTTGAAGTTTTTATTTTTTTGCAGTAAGGAGGGACAACTCTTAAATTACGTAGCCTTTAAATGCTACATTTATTGGTGTACATCTACACCTCACAAATTCTGTACGTAATCACACATACAAAAACAAATTGAAACTCTTAAAAATATTTGGGGTTGTCAGATTGTAATAAGTTTTACAATATATGATTAGTAAATATAGTTTTATTTAATAACAATACTTCCTAAGAATTATATCATTGAAAATGAGTTTTAAAAGAATTAAAATCTTTACAAATTATTCTATTTAAAATTGTAAAAAAAATGAAAACAATCTTGTAAAAATTCATTTTCGAAATTTTTTTCTTCAGACAATGTTGTTTATACTATATATTATTCATAAAAGCAATTAAAAGCTTCTCCAATAAAATAATGTCTTAGTCTTATTGCGTTTTTTTTTATTTTTCGATTCAGAACAGATTTTCGGTAAAACCGGATCCGATTTTCGGTGATTTAAAATCTTCAAAGAATTCTGCTTTTAAATAATATAGTCACTAAAATTATCTGGTTAAAATTTCTCAAATCTTAATAAAATTAAGTAAGGGACTTAAACACATGTAAAAAAAATACATTTTTACTAAGATTTTCTAATAAAAAACTTCAAAATAATTTCATTCATTTGAAAATTTCATTAAAATCTGACAACTGACCTTTGCAAGAATTTCTAAATTAATATGTCTGTCACCGCAAAAAAGAGGAAAAAAATTGCTATGCTTAATGTTAGTACAACCGCTGATTCAAAGAAAACAATTTTTTTAAATCAAAATTTCGAATGTTCTAAATAGGAATAAAATTTAATTAAATAATCAAAAAATACTTTAATCCTTCCTCTTAATAATAACATAAAAATTTTGACGATAAAACTGTTTGACACATGATTTCATCACAATTCACAGAAGTTTCAAGTTAAAAGTAAAGGAGAAATAAAAGGAATGTATCGGTGGCTCGACGTTTGCTTTGATTTAAAAAAAAACAAACTTTATTTAACAATAACAAATTTTCAATTTAAAACAAATTACAATTACATTTTATAATAAAAAGATAAAATTAAATCAAAAGGAAAAAGAAATAAGAAAAAGAGAGATTGCACAAATTATTTCCCCCGGAGAATGTCATGTCCTTAAACACTTATTAAAATACTACATTAGTTTTTTTTATGTATATTCTTATGTTAAACTGACCTGTTAAGATAAAGAAATGAGATTATAAACTGCTGTAGCCACACTGAAATTTATCCTACCCCTTATCTAGGACTTTACAAAAAAAGAAGTTTTTTTTTACATACATTCAATTAGTTAATACATAACTTACCAAATCATTGCGTATCTTGGCTGTGAATTAAAGATAATTTATATTTAAAATTGGACATGTAGCCGATTGGTTAAATGTTCTCTTTTTGACCATGGGACCGAGGTTCGATTCTCACCAGGGCTATTTGTCAGGAAGGGGACTTCTTGATTCGTCGGTCTGAGGTAGGTAAACCCAGCATGCGCCATCTTTTGGAAAGTGCGTGAAAACCATACCACAGGTTTATCCAAGCTTGGTGAGTGAAATTGGCTTGATGGGCGTGTTCGTACGAAGCCACAAGTCATCGTGACCGAGGGTTTGATTGAGCGTGCTGTCCTTGTTAAGACTGTTCTGTCTATCTCGGTCTCTTCAAATCTATCTAAGTCTTTTCATAACTACTGATTTCAGTTTTCTTGTCTATCTCACTCTTTTTTTTTATTTATCTAAGATATATTTGCGTAATTTTAGTAAATATATCTGTTAAAATGAGATGTCAGCATTATTTTCATGGTTTACGTAATTTAGACGACAATTTATCCATCGCACGGTGAATTGCCATCAAGCTATAAAGGAGACGAGAAAACAATGAAGATAAACAAACCACTTCTATGTCTAAACAGCAGCAAGGGGAGGAGGGAACGTGTCGCATTTGTTTTTTTTTTCTCTCTCTCTCTTCTCTCCATCTCCCTAAATTGGGAAGTACTTTGGTTAAAATGAATATCCCAGCATTTTTCAAAATCGTCTGTTTTGGAAAGTAGATGCAGATTAATTTTTAAATAAACTAAAATAAATAAAAATTACTATCTTTTATTTTTCAAATATTTTAAAATAAATATCTTTGATTTTATTTATAAACAAATATATTTCATTTTATTTATAAATAAATATCTTTTATTTAAGATTTTACGAAGAAAACCTAAGAGATAATAAAATCGATTTCTAATGTCTTTGCATTAACCCTGTGTTTATTTAGAATGCATGTTCATTCCGAAACGTAAGTAATCATGGCTCTCCACTCTTCTTTTCTTTTATTATCTATGAATTGCAAGCCAGCCGCGCAATCTGTATTAGGAATAGAGAGCCATCATAAGCAGCAATAAACGGTAACATCCAGCTAAAAGCTAAGTCTTGTCCTGATGCACAGTCCGGAAAACGAACTAATATCCCCATTATCTATCTATCTATCTATCTATCTATCTATCTATCTATCTATCCTAGTTTTTTTCTTTTGTTATCTATCTATCTATCTATCTATCTATCTATCTATCTATCTATCTATCTATTGTGGTAGGATCCACCTAATTTGCATATTTTTCATTAAAGGAATGTACAATTTAAGAGCTCTGTTGAATGAACTGCTAAAAAAAGACAAGGCATGGGAATGGACGGTAGAATGTCAGAAAGCCTTTGATGAAATAAAGAAAATGCTTACGTCCGATCTCTTTTTAACTCATTACAATCCAAAACTGGATATTGTAGTGGCAAATGACGCTAGTTCATACGGGATAGGAGCGTGTATTCAACACATAATGCCAGATGGTTCTAGAAAACCAAATGCACATGCTTCGAGAACTTTACTCCCAGGAGAAAGAAGTTACTCCCAGATAGAAAAAGAGGCACTGAGTATCATTTATGCCATAACAAAATTACATAGATACATCCACGGCAGACATTTTATGCTTGAAACGGATCATAAACCTCTGATCGCTATTTTTGGTTCAAAGAAAGGGTTACCCGTCTATACGGCGAATCGTCTGTTGAGATGGGGAACCATTCTTCTCAATTATGATTTTCACATAAAGCACTTATCATCCAAAAATATAATTCATGCGGATAGTTATCAAGACTCGTACCGAGTCAAGAAGAAAGATTCGAAGAATCAATTATTGCAAATATCAGAGCAGATTATGAGGTGAAAAGCATGGTAAACAACATTGTAAGAGAGCTACCGGTTACACTAAAGGAAATTAAAAAAGAAGCTGAAAGCGATGATTTCATTTTAGAAATAAAAAGCAAAATGGTAGCAAATGACCAAAAAGTGAAGGAGATTTATTCAATAGGTGACGAAGTTTTATTATATGGTGAGAGAGTAGTAGTAACAAAAAAGTTGCAGAAAAGAATACTACGGGACTTTCATATGGGTCACCCGGGGATTAATAGAACAAAAAGCTTAATGCGAAGCTTTGTATATTGGAAAGGAATGGATGTGGATATCCCAAACATGGTTCATCGATGTAAAGGGTGTGCGTTAGCAGCTAAGGCACCATCTATAGTACACAAACCATGGCCCAAGACGGATCATCCGTGGACAAGATTACACATTGATTTCGCTGGTCCAGTAGAAGATTATTACTACTTAATAGTGGTAGATAGTTTTACAAAATGGCCGGAAGTACTACGCTGCAAAAAGCCTACGTCCAATACCACAACAACTTTTTGCATGAACTATTTGCACGGTTCGGTGTGTCAGAGTGTATTGTGAGTGACAATGGTACACAAATTACTTCTGAAAAATTTAAAGAATTTTGTGAGTTATATAAAATTAACCACATAACGACGCCACCGTATCATCCGAGGTCCAATGGACTCGCAGAAAAATTTGTCGATACGTTAAAGCGCGCTCTGAAGAAAGCCTCAGGAGTTCCAAAGGAAAATGCGCTTCAGCAATTCCTACAAGTATTCAGAATCACGCCAAACCAGAGAACACACGCAAACATGGCACCAGCTGAACTAATGTTCGCTAGGAAAGTTAAGTCAGTGTTTGACAAGCTTTTACCAGGAAAAAATAGAGTAAAGAATACTATGTATACAGCGAGAAAAAGATACACCTCCGGAGAGAAGGTGTTTTTCAAGTGCTACAAAAACAACGTTGAGTTCTGGGAGCGAGGCATAGTGGACAAGAGAATCGGTGACCTGATTTACATAATTAAAGGCCCGAAGAATACTCATAAAAGGCACCAGAAACAACTTAAAAAATGTTACGGTATAGAGCATGAAGAGAGTATATCGGATGAGGACGAAGATCCCATTGATATAATGTATGATATGTTTCAGGTAGAACCTCCACAGAATACTCCTGAACCAAGAAGATCCGGTAGGAAACGGAAGTTCACGGACCCATTGGACGTGAATCCAAAACGGAAAAAATATTAAAATTAGGCGGATGGACATATGCATATGAAGTATGCAAATGGATCTACAAAGAAATAGCCATAATCATCAACCCATATAGGAAGCCAGTTTGAAATCCAAAAGGGATTCCAAGGCTTTGGAGTGTGGTGTTGTGGTAGGATCCACCTAATTTACATAGTGGAGTACCGACCATATAAATATGGTTGGTACCGGGGGAGGAATCGAGAGATCCAATCCAGAGACTCTGCCCGACTGCGACTAAGTCAACACATTCTCCAGGAACGATCTTCCCAAGAATATACAAAAGAGTCTATGTAAATATTGTGTACACTTTTCTTGTTTCAATACATTTTGTTCTAAGTACATTTTGTGTTGTATTATTATTCCATGCATTAGTCAAGTTTCAACAATGACATAGCTAGTATGGAGAACTTTTTTAAAAAGAAGATAAAATTAGAGGCTATCCTAGCCTACTTGAAGACGGTTAGTCTATACCCCTAATTATAGGATTAAATAACTTCATTCTAGAGGCATAACTGGAGATTGATGGAACCAACTATCCAAAGGTTTATTTACAAGGCATATATTAAAAATAATCTTTTCAGCATTAAATAACCGGCACAGTTGATATTCCGTTAAAACAGAACAGTCAATCGATCAGTTAACATATTTACCTTCTTCTTCAAACTCACTTTGAACATTTCGAAACTAAAATTGGAAGGTTGAAGGCAATGAAGTTGATTTATGCAATATGCGCTTAATCATTTAAGTTGAGAAATTGTCACATGTATCTTAATTTGGGTTAATCACGAGTGTTTTCAAACAGCTCATAATATTTGTAGCCTTATCTTCGATATCATCATGCGTTCAGCTCTGTATCTCCCCACGTACCGTGTTCATGCGAATACAACAACTTCCGCTACTGACATCAATGATCATTGATATTACTACTAAAATATAAATTGCTGAATACTTACAGCTTCATCGTAAAAAAATAAGCAATATGTTTTTTTTTACCCATGGGATGGATTTCTTTTGCTTGCCGCCTTATATGTGTGTAAGTGTGTAGTTGAATTTAGGTCTACCGAGGTGATGTCACCGCGAGGTACTTTTGGTCGGTTCAAGGTTACAATGTATGAATGGTTGATAAATGAATGGCGTCATTAGTGTAGCGCTTGATTAGTAGAGCCAATTCAAAGCCAATTAGTGAATTTAGTGGATGACTGGTGTTACAGTTCGAGTTTTTACAGTATCAATCGGATACGTTCATGAGGAACTAAAGATTTGAGATGCTGGGTATTCCTGCATGCATTGCAACAGGCGGTAGGCTTAAAATACACGAATTGCACCTCCTGCAGTAGAGCAAGATTTTGACCGCTAAAATACAGACACTATCCAGGTAGATGCTTGCAGACTTAAGTGTAAACTGAACCGATGTCTACCTTTTTCACTATAGAGTAATCTATCATCCTTGAATCTAGTGTAATCCTGACCGAAACCTACCATTTTTGAATCTAGTGTAATCCTGACCGAAACCTACCACTTTTGAATCTAGCGTAATCCTGACCGATTCCTACCACTTTTGAATCTAGTGCAATCTTGATACCATTCTTGAATTTAGTGTAATCCTGACCGATGTCTATCATCTTGAATGTACGGTCTGTTTTAAGTTATGCAAGTCACATAAACTTCAATAATTCGAATAAGCTTTGTTTTTTATTAAATTTTCAGGGATTAATTTAGACGTCGAAACAAATCTTGATTAAATTTTTTAGGTAGTTTCAACAGGTTTCATTAAAGTTGTTGGATTTATTATAAAAACTGCAATCTGAAGTTATGCAAAACCAGAAAATCACTTTTTACTTAAATAACAAGATAATAACATCATCAACAATTGATCAACACCTATAATAGAAAAAAAATAAAAACATGGTAATTTGTAATTGCTTCCCATAGGCCTGTTTTACTGTCATATTGTCATAGTGTTTGACACCCCCATATAATTTCATCTTTACAATTGACTATAGATTTTCAATCAGATTCACATAGGGACTTGATGGTGGCCATTCCATTATCTTCTGTCCTGTGAACTTTTTACGCTCAAAAACTTCACGGATAAACTTAGATACATGAGAAAGACAATTGTTGTGCTTAAATAGACAATTCAATTTCAAATTATGAGGCTGGAAGTTGGTACAACTTCCAGCCTCACAAAGAAATTTTGTCCATGAAATCGCAATATTTAGCGTTGTTCAGTTTAACTCTTTCAACTTTAAATAATTGTTCGGTCGACAATCCCAGACTAACATCTACACTGCCGCCTCCTCTCTGCCTTCTTTTATGCACAGGCACATCTGCATTGGATAAAATCCATCCTTTGATCCATCCATCAGCTCCATCGAGTATCATCGGAAATTCGTCCGTGAAAATTACTTTAGAAATGTCAATTTCCAAATATTTCTGGAACCAATTTTAATGCTTTAAAAATTTGCTTTACTGAGAGGAGCTTGCCTACGAAGCTTTTTGACAGGGCCCAATTTACGAAGTATTCTACATCTTTTGTCATTCTTAACTCCCTCAATTATAGCCCTGTCCAAAGATTTGAGCACCGGTTAAAAATGGTCGTTTCGCTATAAACCGTTTTAGTTTACGTTCCCCACGAGGAACCAAGTTCTTAAAGTCTATTCCTTTGCTTCTAGTTCTCACCTTAGTTATATTTTCAACAGCCCTCTTTATCGTTTGCTGATCTCTGCGGAGTTCCTTTGATATCTCCAGTACAGACACTCTCTCATTCAATAACTTTATTATTTTCTGTTATTCAGTATTTGTTAGACCTTTTTCACTATCCATGTTTCAACATATATTATAGACTAAAGGAAAATAATTTTTATTACATTTTAGAGGTCTTAAAGTGATATTAGTTTAATATACATAATAACTTCAGATTCCAGCTTTAATAACAAATTCAATAACTTTAATACAACACGTTGAAACGAAATAAAAATTAACTCAAAATTTGTTTATTAATCGTTTTATAATTTGATAAAAATTGTTTAAAGCAAATTCGAGTTATTGAGGTTTATGTGATTTGCCTAATAATTTCAAACTGATTGTAGTCTAATTTGGTTCAAAGTCTACCTTCCTGAATCTAATGTAATC